CCCTTTCCCTTGCATGGCCAAACAGTGCGAAGGGAAGACAAACAATTTCAAGCATAGTTAACCAAGACAGGACGTGATCTGGTTTTGGCTGTTAAATCCTTCATGCTCTACAAGTTCCAAGTCCCATGTAAGTCAGGCGTGTGCTCAGGCCCCAGCTGAGAGCACACGGATCTCTTGGAGCGGATGTCTCCTGTCAGCATCTCGCTGTCAGGGAAGTCTGACCAGCTGCTTTTCCCTTGGAAAAGCCAAACCTTTCAATAGGCAAGGCCATGAATCCATGGTGACATTTTGCTCCCTTCAAAACACTTCTTTGCATGACTGATCTGCCTCGACTGACCACGTGTCAGAGGGTGACAACAGGATACTGCCATGAGCTCTGCTCCCTGTACTGGAGCACAGCAGCAGCAATGATAGGGTCTGTAGAGTTATTCCTCAGCTCTCCAGGAGCAGTTCTGGAAGCAGGGAAGCACTAATGGATGCTCCGTCTCTCCAGATCTCACCACAAGTGAGACATCTTCACTTGTCCTCTTGCCAAAGAGCAGATCTTCCTTCTGTAAAGCAAAGGAAAGGGCTTGAAAACAGCATCTGCTTGCGTAATGCTGGGATTTACTGGTAACAAACCTCAGCAGCCCCACCTCTGGCACAGCTGGCATGTTTGTACTGGATGAAGGACAAAGAGCAGGAAGAATGATGAGGAATTGAAAACCTAAACCTGAAGGGAAGGATGTTGTGTGTCCAGTCACTTCATAAGCGCTGCCACACTCCTGATGTGGTGAGATCCTTTCTCTAGGTATTTTATGGATCCTTTCTGCAGACAAAACCTAAATGGGAGGAATTTGTTTCCACCTCAGGCAGGGCTGGGTGTTAAGCAGAGGTAAGTGTGATGGTATTTGCCTGTATGAAGGATTAGCCTTCTGCTCCACCCACAGACAGTCCTTTAGCTCCAAAACATACCTGCCCACCAGTGTAACTGCTGCTGCTGTTAACCAGTTGTTAACCAGTGCTTTCTACCCCGCAGGCAGAACGTTGTGTCAAGCTGTGGCTCTTCCTGCAGAGCCTCCTCATTGATAATGCTGGGTCAAACCAGTGTTGAGAGGATATTGTCACTGGTCAGAAGCTTTCACAGCCACTTGTTGCAAAACACTTGGGAAACCAGTGACACTTCTCAACCTGGTGAGGAGAAACAGTGATTTCCTCCTGGGAGGCAGCAATCCTGGTGCCCAGATCTCTCCCTATGGTTTACCAGCCAAATAAGGGGCTTGTACTTCCTCCAGTGGAGGGCAAAGCAGAGAGCCATGGCTGCATGTGTGTGACTTGCTTCATGCAGCCAGAAGCTCCTGTTGCTCTGCCCTGCTGGAATGCCATTAGGAGGTAGGGAGCTCTAGGAAGCAGTGGCAGGGACCTGCAGGTCACAGGTTCAGCTCATCTGTGTGATGAAGCTGCACATTGCTGTGGGCAAGGAGGGTTGTTTACTGGACTTCTGTTTTCTGCTGGGCTCTGGATGCCAACTTGCTGGGTGTGTGTCTACCACAGAGCTGAGCTGTGCTGGGTCATGCAGAACTGGCTGTAATCCATGGCAGTTGCAGGTCCTATTCCTAACAGTCAGGACACGCAACAGACCCCTTGTACCTACTCACTGTCCCCCTGCCCTGGTCCTTTCCCTCCTCATGACTTTGCCATCTCATATCTGCCTCTTGGAGTGGTGCCCAGACAGGCTGTAGCCATCCCTGCCCATCTCTGCCAGGCTCATTGCCTTGACATGGCTTTCTGCAGCGTCTGCATGAGGTCTCCCTGCAGCTATTAACATTTTGGGAGCCTTTCAATTCAGCTGTCTACTGCCTGCCTTGTGGTTTTGGCTCCTCCATGGCTCCAGCACCCCACTGTGTGCTGCACCAGCTCCATCTGTGCTCCAGAGCCCACATTGCTTGGCCGTTCCATACTCCTGATCCCTTCACTGGTAGAGGAGCCCAAAAGGGCAGGAAGGAATCTCTGCTCCAAGGCTTTTTCTCCCTTCTTGCACCATAAAAGCTGGGTGGTGGTGAATAGAATTCCAAATTCACTGTTGATATTGCAGCTATTGTAAATCTGTCAAGCTCTAAGAGTAGTAGAAGGAGACCCCCACTATGTGTATGTGCTTGCCATGCAGCAGTTTAACTGAAATGGTAAGAAAATGAGTGAAATGGAGTGGGATTCCAGGTCCCACCCTCAAAGCATGTTCCTGACACGCTGCATTCTTCTGCACAAATGGGTCTCTGCAGCCCTGTCCCAGGCACCTTGAGCCCCTTTGAGATGCTGCTCCTAAGACTGGCTGGGCGAGGAGGTCAATATGCATTCAGAAGAGCAGGAAAACATCAGATCAGCCTAGCTTTTAGCAAGCAATGTGGGGAGGAGCTCCTCCATTCCAGACTTCCCTGCCAGCAGTGGTATAAACCAGGAGCTTCCTGCCAGGCTGGAGTGGACCGAGCCACAGCCAGTTCTGAGAAGCAGCCGCCTCTCCCGGGACAGCAGAGCCAGCAGGTTTCCTCATCAGCTTTCTTTATCATTCCATTCTTCCCCACATGCAGCTCGTTTTTCTGCCATTGCCATGAGATGGGATAAACCTGGGAGTTGCTTCAGGCTCTGATGTTGCTCCTGACCTTGGCAGTTGCTTGGGACCAGCAGTTTGCTGCTTTCTCAGGGGCTGCTGCTCATCGCCCCAGAGCAGCAGCAGGGGATGGCAGAGGCTGCTCCCTGGCACTGGGCACTGACCCGCTGGCTTCAGCTGGTGAGGAATGTTCCCAGCTCCTGGAACGTGTCCACCTCCAGCCTGGAGCAACAAGTACAGAGGATCCGCGTGGTGTTGTGTAACACGAGGGGTCAGCGCACGCTGGTGTAGCTCAGAGGCATTCTTTTGCTGCAGCAGGATCCAGGACTTGGGGGTTGTACTTTTAACTCTACCCTGATTCCTGCGCCTCAGCTCCTGCCTCTTTCCATCGCTCTGGCCTTTCAGTTTATCTGTGGTGGTTTGATAACCTGTGCCCAGAAAGCCTGTCATGAGGCTTGGTAAGTTTGTGCAGTGCTTGCTGATCCCACAAGTGTGGTGTGGATGTGCTTTAGGTGTGCTCAGGAGACAGAGCTCCCACTGCTCCTGCAGTGCCTGGTCCAGGGCATCTCTCCTACAATGTACCTTAAAGCAAAAGGTGTTGAGAGAACTTAGCTTATGAGTGATCACAGGCAGACCTTCAGGGATAGCATCTAAGCAAAGCTGCCCAAGGAGGGATGATGGGGTACCAGGGAGCTGGGGTGAGAAGCTCCTGGAACAAAGCCCAGGAGCCCTCACACTACAAGCAAATAATAGTAATAAAAAGGAGCAAATCCTGAAGTCTACACCCAGCAAAATTCTCACTGAATCCTGAGATGTGGCAGTCCTGGGGTAGAGGTTGGACTTGATCTTAAAAGTCTTCTCCAGTCTACTTGATTCTATGATTCTATGACTTATGACCAAGCTTTCTACACAGATGCAGCTTTGGGTCCACACCATTCCACTAACACACCTCCCTCTCTTTTCCCTTACTAGGTCCCCAGCACTCTGTTTCCAACTCAGAGGGGGATCTCCTCTTCTTACTGGACAGCTCTGGCAGCGTCTCCTACTATGAGTTTTCCAGGGTCAAGGAATTCATGTGGGACCTTGTGCAACCCTTCACCTTTGGCCCCAAAGATGTCCAGACCAGCATCATCCACATCAGCACTACACCCACCATGGAGTTCCCGTTTGACCGGTACCAGTCCAGTGGGGCTCTGCAACAAGCCATCCGGGACACTCAGCAGCTCATGGGTGACACCAACACAGGCAAAGCGCTCTCCTATGCCAAGGAGAAGCTCTTCAGTGGTGAAGCTGGTGCCCGGCCTGATGTGCCCAAGGTCCTGGTTTGGGTGACGGATGGTTTCTCCACTGATGACATCTCGGAACCCATGAAGCTCCTGAAGGACATGGGAGTAACGGTGTTCATCGTCAGCACGGGACGGGGGAACTACCTGGAGCTCTCTGCTGCTGCCAGCCAGCCTCCTGAGAAGCACCTGCACTTTGTGGATGTTGATGATTTAACCATCATCACCAAAGAGCTGCGAGATTCTATCCTAGGTACAGTGGGGTTGGCTTGTGCTCAGTGGGAGCTTGCAGCATGGCTGAATGGGAGCTAATGCCTGGGTCTGCAGGGCAGGCGATCCCCTAAACACAATGGTCATCCTGACCCACAACTGCTGCCCTGGCAAACTGAGGTGCTTTGTCCACAACGCTATAGGTCCCAGTATAATCCAAATCTTTTAGGAGGTCTGGGACAAGTATCTCTATTCCCCTTGGAATGTCCCATAACTGACCGGGGCAAACTCCCTTCTGCAGACCTGTTACTGAGATAAACTTGTAGCTCAGTTGTTAATAGAGGAAGGAGGCTTAGGCAGTGTATTACCTGGATTCCTTAAAACCCCACAAGGCTTTGAACTGAAGCTGTTCAGACATCCATGGGAGTCAAGCATAGCATGGAAATGCCCCTACCTGCACAGGTTAATTGTTAACCAGACACTTCCCCAACAGGCAATGAATAGACTCCAGCAAAGGCTGCTGGCTGGGAGCAAGGTACCCAAGTCCCTTGAACCTGATCTTTCTGTTGAGGGTGATTTGTGTTCTCTATAATGCTCCCTGGCTATGAGCCATCTGATGGAGGTGGAGGACACAAATGCACACACACAATGCGATGTGCATGCTTGGGAAGGATTTGGTCCTGTCAGCTCCCTCAAACTCTTGTCTAGGATAATCTGCTGTCCTACACACCCCACTGTGTGTTAGCACAGTGGCTGGCACACACTGAGATGTCTAACTCCTGCCTACAAGTATCTGGCAGTTGCTCTCACAAAGAGCATCTGGGGATGGTGCTTGCTGTCAGCATTGAGACTGTAGGAGGGGAATGGTTTTGTTCCATTAATCCCCTGTTGGAACGCGTTCCACATCTGCCAGATCTATAGCCTGACTTGGCTAGCACAGCCCTTGGAAGAAACCCCCAGCCCTGACTCCTTAGGCTGAGCAGGCCAACCACCACCTCTGCGTTGCTAATGGGGTTGTGGCCGTTGCTGTGCAGGGAGCAGGAACAGCCAGAGCTGATCTTCAGCAATCCTGCTCTTTAAAGCATCCAGGAAGGGCTCTGAGGAGACCAAAGCCCTAATCTGGGCCAGAAGACAGGCACTAGGAAGCCAAGAGGAACACCTCATGCTGATCTGCATGCTGCGCTGCACAGAGCATGTTCTTTTGCAGCTCCTGAGTGCCAGCACGGTGGGAGTGCCTGTGGCTGCCTCCACCTCCTAGATCCCTCTGGGTTTGTTTGGAAAGCTGAGTTACTGTGACTCTGCAGACTTTCCACTGATTTTTTTCCTGGGGGTTCTCTCTCCACTGGAAATCCTGTTCTAATTCCTCAGTTGGCTCCTCTGTGAGCTGGTTAGAGCTGGTTTTGGAGTGTCCAAGTAACCCTTTCCAGAACCCCTCTGTATGGAGCAGTTCCTATTTCCGATGGTCATTGAACACATCACTCACAGGGATTGTGTTTCCACCCATCCGCATCTCCCCTGGGTGAACATGGGGCAGCACCAGCAGCCCTGCCACAGGACCAGACACCCCACAACCCCGGGTGCTTCGTTTCAAGTGGCTGTTTCAGCTTCTAGTGCATCCTGAGCCCAGGTGCTCTAAAAGAGCATCCCAAATTGAGAAGTCACCTGCATACCTTTGCAGCATAAGATTGACTTGGAGATCTGCAAAGGTGATGAGCACCCTGCTGTGCCCAAGGTCTGGGATTTTAATGGAAGGTGAGATTCCCACATGAATCCAGGGGCTGGTGCCTGGATTTTGGAAACATCAGACTTTGGTAGCATCACCTGAATTAGCCTGAATAAAGCCACACGTGTCCACTCTTCCCTGCCTGGAGGAGGCAGCCCTCATCACTCTCTTCCTGCTTCTGGCCCCTGGGATAGCAGGGATAGCCAGGATCCTTGGCAGGCAGAAATTAGGCCTTTCCAACTCTGGAATGGCCCAGGCTGGTTTATTATCACTGCTATCTTGCCTTCATCTCTTGCTACTGTTGAAAAGCCTTTTGTAATGCACAAACAAGCTTTGTCAAGAGTTGCTCTCCTCCCTCCACCTCCTGTCCAGGAATGGAATGTTTCATGCCTGCTCCATAGATACTCCAACACAATGATTCCAGGTTTCTTGGGAAGGACCTACAAGTATTGTAAACCTAAGGCATTCCTTGGAGCTGACATCAGGGTCTGTGCTAGCATCCACTTGCTCTCCCCTCAGCCAGTTGAATTAACAACTGCTCACTTGTTCCATCCTTTGGCACCATCTTCGGAGCCAGGTTGTGCAGGAGCCTGCCTGGGAGCAGTCACAAAACACCAGCCACTTCCCATGTGTATTCAGGATCACCCCTGTGATTTGTCCCAGGTCCTCGCTGAAGCTTCTGCAGAGGGGGGATCATGTCCCCAGGGCTGGAACAGGCTCATCTGCTGCTTGGCTGCACTTCTCACACTCAGCATGAAAGCAGCAGCATTCCTGTGAGTCTAATCTTGACCTCACCAGCATTCGTGTGGCTTTACAATGGTGCTTCAAGTCACCAAGAGGTGCAGGGAGAAGACAAGTGTGCCTCAGGCTGGCTCTGAGGGTGTTAGGAAGGTACTGTCTGATACAAGAGATGAGCTTGCTGCTTCCCTCTGGGAATGAGGAGGTGCTGTGAAGCATTCCATGAGCATCTCTTTTCTAGGGTTTATTGCTCTCTTTACATGCTCAAGGCATCCACAATCTGGCAGCAACAGCAGAGCTATTTGCTGTGGGCTTCCTGCAGCACATCCCTCAGGTGTTGCACCATGTCCCTTTAACCTGCCTCGTTTATTCACTGTCTCCCTGGGCCCTGCTTCCAAACTCACTCATTTCCCTGAGCTTTTGGCAGGACTTGTGGTGCTGAGGCCTTTCCCCTGCTCCCTGTTCCTCTGTGGCTTGGCCACTGGTACCGTGGGGCTCACAGAAGGGTGCTGCCTCCTCCAGGCTCTCACTGGGTGGAGTGCTGCTGGCTGGGAGCGGGCAGAGAAGGGGAATGTTCCTGCCTGCCTGGGAGAGCCAAGGAACAGCTCAGAGGAAAAAGTGAGGCTGCTGTATTTGGTAGAGGGAAGCTGGCAGGGACTGGGAGGAGGAGAGCTCATTTTCTCCAGGACAAGTCTGGGAGTGCAGGGATACCCCCTGTTCTCTTGCAGGTCTGGGCAGGCTTGTGCCTCCCTTTACTGCTGTGTAACAGGCAGCCAGTGAGAGTTAGAATACTCTGAAGTGTTTAAGCTTGGTACTATCATAAGGTTTCAGAAGCGAGACCGTGCGGAACAAACACACTTCTTTAGGCTCAGGGTGCTTTTAAACACGCTTGAAGAAAGAAAAGAGCATCTTTGTCTTCATATGGCACTTCCCTGGAGCTAGAAACAACCTCCTGTGGGTTTCTGTCCCTCTGGAAGACCAGAGAACAGTGGAATTCTGCCCAAGGTGGCCTCCCATGTGTCAGAGGGGCTGAGTGGCAGAGGAAGCTGGGAGCAGCAGAGCATCAGGAGAGGTATTCCTGCTTGGCATTTGGGGTCTAGAACTCAGAGGTAGCACAAGTCTTGAAGAGAAGCCTCTGTGCAAGGGGAGAGAGAGGTGAGACAGCACAAGAGCAGCTCTGAATGTTGAATGTCACAGAACAATGGAGCTCTGTGAAACACTGCAGGGAGTGACTGTAGCTGGGATGAATGCAGCTGGACAGTGCCCAACCGCTGCCCCTTCTTCCTGGCCACTGAGTACAGGCAGGGAGAGGGAGAAATGTGTTTCTCCACACTCTGGGTGCTTCACACACATGGCAAAACATAGTGGTTTGGTTTCACTAGTGGGTGAGTTCCACAGGGAGCTTGGGGTGAACTGACTGATGGAGTTTGGGAACCTGGATGCCAGGAACAGTAACTCACACACTGTTGGGTGGTGGTGGCAGCCCGGAGTGTGCTGGACCACTCCAGGTTCATTCTTGGTGGTACGAGGCAGGGTCTGTCTGAGGGGCAGGAGCAGTGTGAAAACCCAAATATTGCTGCCCCAGATGACACGTGTTGGACATTTTTTAGCTTTATGCTTGGCCTCCAGGGTTTAGTTTTGTGCTCCTGAACCTTTCGAAGAGGGTCTGCTTCACTGAATTGCTCTGAAGGGGCTTGGCTACACTGAGGAGGCTTCAGCTGTGATCCAGTGTTGCTGGAGGCTCATCTCTAGAAGGGCCTGTGTTTCAGACGTGCCATGTTCTGTTATCAGCGTCAGTAGTGTGATTCCTGCCTCTGTTTCTCTTCCAGATGTTATCCAAGCAAATCGGCTCCATGCAGTAGACATCACCTCAAGCAGCTTCCACCTGGTGTGGCCCAAACTCCTCTCCCAGGAAACTGGCTACTACACCCTAGAGTATGCCCCAATAGATGATCTAGCAAGGAAGAGGACACATCAAGTGTCTGGGGCTCACAGTAGCCTCACACTGAGCAACCTTGCACCAGAGACTACGTACGAGGTGGCACTCATTCCTGAATCCAACATCCACTACTTCCCTCCCCAGACAACAAGGGTTACTACCCTGGCAGGTAAAATGTGCACAGTTGTGACCAAGGAGGAAGTCTCCACTGTGCTGAGCCTCATTTATATATAAATATGTATTTTTATATATATGTTTTACATGTATATAAAGCAACTGGGACAGTTGCATCCCACATGGTCTGATTGGAGGAGGCAGATAGTTGTGGTCAGGACAGAACATAATGAGCTGCTTTATGCTGGCATTCAGCTGGCAGCTTTTTACTTAGAGATGTTCTGGACTGCCCAGAACAGGAGATCAGGTCTGATGATCATAAGATCCAACCCTTCCAACCTGAACGTATTAATCTAGAGTAAAGCAGAGCCTACTGCCCTGGGCAAAGAAGGCAGGAGCTTCACCTTGCAAGTGTTTGTTCGGGCTGGGGTGGAGAGCCCACTGTGGGTAAAGCACAGGCTGGTGCATGTACTTACTCACCACCCCAGTTTGCTGGTCAGGCAGAAGCAGTGCTGCCTTGTGGGGGTTACTGCCAAAGGGGAACTCTGACTCTTGTGCCTGAGCAGCTGCTGTGGGCACAAGGAGATGCCTGTCTCCTACCTGAGGCTGCAGTGCAGCAAGGGAGAGTAATGCTCTTGAAGCAGGCACATGCTGCTTCTCCAGGCAGGTCTATCCACTGGTGGGGAACCCCTGTGTAAGAGGGAAGGAGAGGGGGAGCACTTGGAGCAGAACCCAGCCCCTCTGTGCAGATTGTATGCAGTCATTTGGGCCAGGAGAACAACTCAGATTTATGCTGGATAGCAACTTGTGTTTAATGCCTTGACTCACCTGCTCATTCACATCTTTATACATTGCTTTCAGAGGAAATAAGCCCAGCCCAGGTTTTGATTTCGGAGTCTGGGCCACACAGCTTCCATGTGAGCTGGGCTCCTACCCTGGACAGTGTGACCAGCTATCAGGTCCTGTATGGACCACTGCCCGGCAACTCGGTGAAGCTGCTGGAGGTGGATGCTCAGCACAATGGCACCGTGGTGGAGAACCTGGCAGCCAACACAACCTACCTGGTGACAGTGACTGCGATCTACAGGTCAGGGAAGGAGAGATCCCTGTCAGCTAAAGCATGCACCCAGGAAGGTGAGTGAGCAGCACGCTGCTGATAGAGACCATAGGGGCACAAGGAGTCTCTGGAGTCCCTGTTTCTTTGCACAGATCATTTGCCTTTAGGTGAAGCCAAAGAACTCAGCCCAGTCACTGGGGAGGGATGAGAGAAAGGGAAAGCTGCAGCTTTCTGATGAACACCACATGATATGCCATTAGGATGTAACAGATGTATAAGGCATAAGACTGCAAGAAAATGAGACATGCACGATGTGACTGCTGTTACAGGGTGCGTGCTGCCAAGCTGCTGGTGGAGTCACAAGCAGAACAGATTTGGAGATCCCTGAATCTTCCTAAGGAGGGAAAGGCAGTTTTCTTTGTTCTTTTCTCCTCAATATCTGTTCGTTGGCATCAGAAGGGTGGAAATTTCATCAGCAGAAGCTTCTGCTCTGAGGAGGAACCTGTAAAGATATCACAGGAGGCAAAATCTAGCTTTTATCAGGACTCGGGAGTGAGGAGCTCAGAGAATGACAGGAGCTGAAGGTGTGGGAGGTGGCCAGCCTGTGCCCAACAGTGCCATCAAAAGCATTTTGTGTGGGTACCAGGGCAAAGGTAAAGAGTGATGGGCTGTTGTCTCTGCAACAGAAAGACCAAGCTGGCTGGTCTCCTCAGGAGGAACAAGGAGTTAGGCAGTAAGGAGCACTCTGCACAAATAGCCTCAGTAACGTGCATCTGCTTTCTCTAGAGGGCTCCAAAGTGAGGCACCTTCGCTTTGAAGACATGGGCCCCAGCACCCTGAAAGCCTCCTGGGACTCTGCTGATGGGAAAGTCCTTGGTTACAGAGTGAGATGCCGGCGGCAAACGGGCCCTTCTTCTGTCATCAGCGTGTCGGCACAGACCCGCAGCGTGCTCCTCACAGAGCTGCCCGCAGGCACCACCAACAAAGTGTGTGTGAAGCCCGTGTACAAGAACCAGGCAGGCAAAGGGCTGTGCCGCATGGTGCACATGCAGCCAGGTGAGCTGGGGCGCAGGGCACGATCCTGGGGCACTTTAGCCAAGGGGAAGTGTCCTGCAGGGCGCTGAGGTGCTGGAGCCCCATCACGGAGGAGCCCTCACGGCTGAAATGCTCTGTGCTCATCAATTAGCTTGGCAACAGGGCTTCGCCACAGCCACCAGCCCAAAGGTACTGCCGGAGACGAGTCCTTCCCCATTTTAAGAGCAATGCTCCTCCTGGTGGCGTTACATTTGCAGGCAGGAGAAAAGGGGTGCACTGGAGTCGTGCATTTACTTTGGGATGACTGCTAAAAGCTGGCATGGGCATTGGAAGTGCTGTTTAAAAGTCACTTGAACTCTTGGTTATCCTTTACTTTTCAACGTGGCAGGGACTAGCTACTATTAAACACAGCTACTAGGGCACAACTTATCTGCTTTCTTCCTTCCACTGCCCAGAAGCCACTTACAGTCACAAAACACGAAGGGGTTCTTGACAGGCTGAAGTGAAGTAAGAGCTAAGAAAGCTGTGTGACAGTGCAGGAGCACAGCCCTTTTCCCAGAAAGAGGCTGGAGTGGTGAAGATGGCCACAGGGATGAGCTCTCTGACTCAGTCACAGTTGGAGAATGCATGGGTAAAGCTGACATTATACTTCTTGTGTTCTCTCCAGCTACAGAGGCCCAAGGATATAAGCACAGACAGAGAGCGTGACAGACTCTGGAATGAACTGATTCCCAGCAGAGCAAGGAATCTTGCTTGGACAAAGACTTGGACAAAAAGGAGGGGTCAGGAAGGAGACTGGAAAGCTCACAGATCATCTCCCAACCTGCACTGTCCATTGAGATGTCCTGGTCGTCAAGCCTAAAGGCTGTCCTCAGCCAAGTTCTCCCAAAGCTTAAAGGTTTGGCTTGGCAGTATGGAACAGCCAATGCAACTAATAGAGCCCAAATCTGTACCCTCTTTTATATCAATGCCTGACAAATAACAAACCAAAGGCCAAGTGCTGAATCCTCACTCTTGCTTGCTTACTGCCTGTGCTCTATTTATTAAATGTTGATGCAGTTTTATTTCCGCAGCTTATGAACATGTTCACAACAGGCTGTTTATGCCCTGCCCTTTCCTTGTGGGCACCTGCACCCAGAGAAAGATGACACGTGGCCAAATCCGTTCCTGCTCTCAACTGCCATTGAAGATGACACTTGACTAAGAGCAGCTTTCCTCCAACTCATCCAGTGTACTCTACAGGTAGCTCAAATGAGGGGTCCCAAAACTATAGCATGGAAGGGAAAAGCTTTAGCAGAAAGAAGAGTAACAGAAATGTACAGCATGGAGAGGAGATTGGGTCAAAGCCACCAGGATTTCTGAGAAGAGGAAGAAAGGAGGTTGTTAACCCACTTGGCCTTTGGCCAGGACGTGGAGGAGACACTATAAAAACCATCCTGCCTTTTCTAAAGTGCCAGGACAGTTCAGTGTTCCCAGATGAGCTTTGCTTTATGGCAGAGTTTAGTCAGTGAACTCTGACAAACAGAACAGTAGGGCCATGCTGAGGTGGATGAGCACTGCCAGAGGGCTCCAGCAGAGACATTTGCTCACGCTCTGACCACTGAATTCTTGAGTCTCATCAAGGCTGTTCCACCTCTCCCTATGACACTGGTACTAAATTCATCTGCTGGAATGACGTACAGGTCCTGGATGGACTTTGAAAGGTTCCATTTCCCCAAGTCATTTGTCTTGGGGTTTGGTGTCAGTCAGAGAGCAGGAAACTCAAAAACTTGGGAATCTGCTTCCCTTGCAGGTTACTCTATTTTATAGCTCTCAGCCTACAGCTGAGTCAAGGAGCAGCAGTGAGTCAAGAAAAGCCAGACACCAAGAGCATCTAAAGCAGGTACTTGTTTCTCATTCAGATACACACCTCCAAACCATAGTGCAGAACTGCCTGGATCATGACCACTGCATTACTGTGCATACCTGCAACTAGTTTAAGCAAATTGGATGCAATTCCTCCATCCAGCAGGAGATTACTTAGCCTGTTCTGTGACTAAGTATGGACAGTAAGTATCATTCCAGGCTCTATCCTCTGCTCTGAAAGCACTGAGCACAACTGTAGTGTCTTGTCCTGGGCTTCCACCCACTCCTAAGATTGAGCTACACTTAAAAATTGGGGTTTTAGGGGAGAAGAGTAAATCTCATTCTTTCCCTTTGCCCCCTGGCTGGAATTTGCTGTCACAAAGCTACTCTTTGGAAAGGGTTGCTGGGGAAAGAAAGGACAATTGTCATACCTAGTGTCAGAGCCATCAGATCAGCATGGTTCCAAAATTGAGGGCTTAGGGCTGTAAAGACGTATATAATTCTGCTAACAAACCCCACATCAGTGGGAACACCTTCCCTCAGCAATGCTTGCTCTGTTTTAACTCCATTGCTTGTTTGCCCTACACATGGAACTGTGTTTTTAAGCTGTGCCGTGCGCTGGAGAGCCCACACACAGTGTCTCTCCATCCTGCAAACCCTCTGTTAGCTCTGCTTATGGGCTTCTTCAAACAGCTCCTTTGGAAGCTGTGAGGACCTTGTCTCCTGAGTGCTGAATGCACCATGTCTAGGTTTATGGAGCTTTTGCCTTGGGCTGTCTTCTTGTAGAGGAGGAAGGGATAGGAGGGAGACAAGTCATTCATTAACTGGATAAGAAGATTTCACATGATTTGTGTTCTCCTTTGGAACGTGAGTTTGTGACTGATTAATCTTCATGGGGACTGTGTTGAGGGAAAGATAAAGCCTTTGGAATCTCTCCTGCAATAAGATAATCTTGTTCATTCTTGCTGTAGGAAAAAGTAATTCTGCACAGCTCCCTGCGTAGTTTACTAGTGCATTAACATGTCATCCCCCCCAATTGTAATGCATCGTTTTGAAGACAATTAAATATACAATACTAGAGCTACTGAATGATTACTTTGTTCTTGATGGCAATAAGGGCAAATCTATTAAGAGCAGGTTTTGTTCTAATGGGAGGTATTCATCTCAATTTTAAATGACTGATAAGTAAGCATTCCACCCAGGATTTCATAGTCTGCTTTACATGGAATTCCCTCAAATAAATGTCAACTATCTAAATAGAAATATATCAGTCTCAATGTCTCAGCTTCAGTGGTAATTGTTTTACAAGAGGAAATATCCCTTAAATCCTGGCAGATCTGGTAGTGTTTGTGAACATGAACATTGCGGTGGGACAGGTAAGTTAAATTATCTTTGCTTTAATAAAGCCTAATGATTTCTAGGGCTGTTGGAGCATCTCATCTGTACTGATGTCGTGGGTATGACACCCAAACACCTTTGTAGAGTGAGAACACAAACCACCAGGACCCCCAGGAGGAGCTCAGTTCTATGTGTGAGGACTATATATTTGTCGCAGGTTTTCCGTAGGGACCTCCTGTTGGCTGTTATTAGAGATTTAGCTTTCTGTTGCTGGTTGTTCCATATTGTTTGGTGCTTCTGTTCACTTGCTCCAAGGTGCGTATGGTCCCAGCCTCACTGCAGTGTCAAAGTACAACTGTAATTCAGATGCAGCAGCAACGTGGAGGTTCTGTCTTCATCTGGCATTTCATTTACTGCAGTGGACGGCTGCCTGCTACAAACAGGCTTAACTCTGACCCCTTCATGAAGACACAGAAGCCAGCACACACCTTGAAGGTGTGAAAGCTCAGGAATGTCCTTACCACTGCCAAGATGAAGGAAAAGACTCTCCCAGCTCGGAATTGGTGCTGGTTGCACAAGCTGAGTGGGGAGCCTGACTTCGGCAGTGAAACGTGCTCAGAAAATAGCCTGTGAGTGCAGTTGTCAGTGGTTTAGTGCTTGGCTTTCCTTTTGTACCGAGCAAAACTGCACTCAAATCCTTATTAACCATTCGCTGCGTATTCATTGACCCAAGGTGAGAAATTAAAGCTGTTACTTAGAAAACTGGGGATAAAATAAGATTTAACTATGAGGAATAGGGCTGTAACGGCCACTGGCTGCTTTTGCCTCTGCATTGGTTCTCCAAAACAGCTGTTGGAACCACTGATATGTCTATTTAGAGCAAGAAATATCACTGATTTATTTATTTTATATATATTTTGATATCTATTTAACTTTTATA